ATCCATTCATCTGTTGATGGGCACTTAGGTTGTTTGCATCTTTTTGCGATTATGACTAACGCTGCAATGAACGTGTGCGTACATATTATCTATTCATGTCATGGCTCTTATTTCTTTAGGGTATATACTTAGGGGGGTGTTAGGTTTTAAATATCTTTTCATCTCACAGAGCCTAGCACAGTGCAACCCCTAGGCACTACATCTTTTTATGATGATTTGTGAATGAAGACATCTTCTGACCCCTGCAACGCGCCGCAGGGGGCGCCCGAACGTAGGGTTGCCGCAGGGCGGAACCCAAAGCCCGGGGCGTGGCCGCGCCCGGAGCCCGTTTGCGCCTGAACGCGGATCCGGAAGTAGCGCGGGGCGGGGTGGGCGTTGCGGGGCGAAACTATCACCCCGTGAAGATGCTGCTGGACCTGTCCGAGGAGCATAAGGAGCACCTGGCCTTCCTGCCGCAAGTGGACAGCGCGGGTCAGGGGGCGGGGTTCTGGGACTGGGGAGGGAGTCAAGGGAGGCGCCCCGCGCTCACGGCCTCTGGCTTCCATTTTAGTGGTCGCCGAGTTTGGGCGGATTGCTGTGGAGTTCCTGAGGCGAGGGTCGAACCCCAAGATCTACGAAGGCGCCGCCAGTAAGAAGGGAAGGGGCGCGGCTCTGCAGACTGCGCTGGGAGGCGTGGACTGTTCTCTGTCGCCCTGGAAAGATTGGGGTTATTGAGACTCCAAGGGTCTTGTTCCCAAGACCCCTGGTGGGAAAAAACCAGCAGGGCTTTTCAGTCAGGGCGCAAATCCTGCTGGTCCCTCAAGTAGCTGTGAGATGGTTAAAGCATCATTAAGCCCGTTTCGTCATGTGTAAAAGTGACATATCACCTGCCTTTCAAGATATGATGCTTAAGTGCACCAGAGTCTGGAGTAGCTGGGTCAGCTGTAAATATTATGCAAGTGTTTGGTTATTATTAATTGTTCAGACATCTACGTGTGCTGAAGTGTGTGTGTGTGTTTGTGCCAACGAGGGGTGGTTTCCGGGATTAAGTTAATCCCTGTCGAATCCTCCCTCTGCCAGGCGCCTGGTACTAGGCTCCACGGGTCTGCATTTTTGTAAAGAAGATTAAACCAGAAACCAGACTCTTTCTGTGGAGTCAGTTCCGACTCGGCTCTATACCGTGTGTTACAAAGTGGAACTGCTCCAGAAGGTTTTCTTGACGTAATCTTTACGTTTGCATTCGGTTGTCAACCAAAGGTTGACAGTTTGAGCCTTCCCACCTGAGCTGCGGGAGAAAAGGCCTGGCGATCTGCTTCCTCAAGCTTATAGCCAAGAGGACCTATGGAACACTTCTACTCTGTAACACATGGGGTCGCCATGAGTTGGATTCCCACTCCACCACAGCTAACAACAACAATCTTTATAGAAACAGATCAGCAGGCTTTTTGCAATGCCCCCAGATGGGTTCCAACCACTAACCTTTAGGGTATTAGCAGGCCATGGGACAGCCACCCAGGGACCTTCAGGAAATAGAGTGCATCTGGACAAGACACCATGGCCAACTCATTTCTTATGCAGTGTGTTTGAAAACACGAAATAATGGATTATATTTAATTCCTAAAATAAGAGTTTGAATGAAAGGATAAATATCGCACAATAATTTATTTGCTAATTTTTTCCTCTCCTTTCTCAGGAAAACTCAATGTGAGTAGTGACACTGTGCAGCATGGTGTGGAGGGATTAACATACCTCCTCACTGAGAGCTCAAAGCTCATGGTAAGGGCTTCTGGGGACTGCTTTGTATTACCTGGACCCTTAAGAAAGGTGTATGTTCTCTATATCATTGTCCTGGCAGGTAGCTGTGTATTTTAGTAATGTTGTTAATGGTTTGTAATTGATTTTGTGAAGATATGCCTGAACAATATGACTATAATATGATCCGCTGGTACGAATTCCTTTTGCTAGTAAATTAAAATTGCATCCATAGTGTGTATCCTAATGAGATGATTCATTCTGTTTGCATATTGCATATGGAGATTAGGGGGGAGAACTGTGCACTTCCATTTTTTCCTTTTTATATTTCATTAAAGTGTTCTATTTTTATGTATCAATAACAAATTTTGGAACAGTGGGCAAGAGTTGTCTTTAACTATGAGGGATGCTCCTTTACTACACAGAAATGAATTAAAGGCTGTTGTATTCTTTTGTTTATATCAAATATTTTAGTGTTTGCTAGACAAAGATAGATGTTGATATTCTGCTAAACTCAATTCACTTTTAGATTTCTGAACTGGATTTCCAAGACTCTGTTTTTGTTCTGGGATTCTCAGAAGAATTGAACAGATTGTTGCTTCAGCTGTATCTGGACAACAGAAAGGAGATCAGAAGTATTCTGAGTGAACTGGCACCAGAGCTTCCCAGTTACCACAGCCTTGAATGGAGACTAGATGTACAGGTGTGGCTTTTTTTTTTTCTCTTTTAATCTGACATAGAATATAAGAATTATTTTAGGTTTATGTTCTTATGCTTATTGTGTTCTTTACAAACTTTAACCACACTCTGGTTTGAAACTTTGTTTTTTTAATATTTTATTTTCAGACCATTTCACCAATAGTTCATTTGCATACATTTTTAATATATTCAAATCAGTTTGATTTGCAAAGTTTGTAAGAAATCGATTATTTTGGAAAAGGAGATGGTTATGCAGATTTTTTTAGATGGTGCTTTGATTTTTAAAAACGTTTCTCTTTAAATGTAACACACGTAGAAAAGTGCACAAGTCATAATTGTAGAGCTCGATGAATTAATGAATTATTACACAGTGAAAACACCCATGAAAATAATACTTACCCATGACCAGCATCCCAGAAGCATCCTCCTGGCCTTCTACCAATTACTGTCTCTTCCCTCCTTCCCAAAAGTAACCAGCATCCTGACTTCTTTTTTTTTCTTTCTTTTATTGTGCTTTAGATGAAGGTTTACGGAGCAAAGTAGTTTCTCATTGAACAATTAATACACATATTGTTTTGTAACATTAGTTGCCAACCCCACAATGTGTCAACACTCTCCCGTTTTCAACCTTGGGCTCCCCATTACCAGCTTTCCTGTTCTTTCCTGCCTGCTTGTCCTTCCCCCTGGGCTGGTGTGCCCAGTTAGTCTCGTTTTGTTTTATGGACCTGTCTAATCTTTGGCTGAAGGGCGAACCTCAGGAGTGACTTCAGTACTGAGTTAAAAGGGTGTCTGGGGGCCATACTCTCAGGGTTTCTCTAGTTTTTGTCAGACCAGTAAGTCTGGTTTTTTTTTTGTGAGTTAGAATTTTGTTCTCCAGCATCCTGACTTCTAATATCTAGATTAGCCTTGCCTGCTTTTTAACTTTCTATAAATGGAATGATTCAGTAAATATTCTTTTAAATCTGGCTTCTTTTGAGCAACATTATGAGATTCACCCTTCAGTTATTTTTAAAGCTACATAAATAAAAGGGAACTTTTCAGACCATTGCCTGTTGCCCCTTATTCAGACCATTGCATATAGCCCTTTATTAAGCAGTGAAAGGTGAGTTAATAGACATTTATAGAGTCTTGTGTGTTTGTCGATTAGACTTGTGCTAAATGCTTTGGGACACAAAAGAAGTGTGAGACACCTCAGCTGAAAAAGATGTTACCTGGTGAGGTATTAGATGTTCTCAACTAACTAGTAACTAAAGATTGGTGTAAAATAAGGTTCTGGAGGAAAAAAAAAAAAGAATATAACTGTATAAAGGTACTAATAGAGTGGTTCAAAAAAGCTGTAACTCAGGGAGTTCAGTGTGTGCAGCATGATCCAGAAAAACTTCAACAAAAGGAGGTGAAAACGTCGGAAGGATGACTGAATAGAGAAAAATGGGGTAAATATTCTTAACAGAGGAGGCAGTTTAAGCTGTAAAGACCCACATGAATACAGGAACGAGCATATGAGTTTGTGGCATAAAGCACCAATTCTCAAACTTGTCTGCATATTGAAAATAACCTGGGGAGCTTTAAAAAACTCCAATGCCTGTGTCCCACCCCTAGAGATTTCTGATTTATTGGTATGAGGTTTAGCCTGAGCATCAAAATTTTTAAAAGCTCCCTTTCACCAAGGTAATTCTTAGTTCAGTGAAGTTTGTGAACCACTATTGCAGCGGATTCTTCCTGATTTGAATGGAAGTAAGGTTAAAGCATTCGGCTGCTAACCAAAAGGTTGGCAGTTTGAACCCACCAGCTGCTCCGTGGGAGAAAGATGTGGTAGTCTGCTTCCGTAAAGATTTACAGCCTTGGAAACTCTATGGGGCAATTTGTGCATTCAGTTCTATGAAAAGAGAAACAATTAGGCCTCTCGCACGCTCCCACCACCACATCTGCTAACCCACCCGTAGCTCTACCAGCTTGCTCTGCTTTCCCTTCAGTTGCTCCTGATGAAGTGCCCGTGCTCCTGTCTACAGGCAGCTCATTTGCTTGTGCACTTGAATCCACCCCCTTATGCCCACATGAGGACACAGTTCCAGCAATCGTTCCCTCCCTCTCCTGCCTCATACCTCCCCCTCCCCGAATCATTCCCTTCAGCACACGGTTAAAAACCCAGTCTTGATTCCATCTATCTCTCCTACTGCCACCACATTTTTTGTTTCCATTTACACCCAAAACTCCTTGAAAAAGTTGTGTCACTGACTATTCATTCTTTCTTCCCATTCTCCCTTGAACGCACTGCGATCAGGCTTTCCCCCTCACCACTCTACTGATACAGGTCTTCTACTGACATAACTTAATCTTCATCCTGTTCTACTCATTAGCAGCATCTGTCACAGTTGATCACTCCTTCCTGCTTGAAAACACTTTGCTGCCTTCTGGGAAATCACTCCCGTAGTTCTCATCCAGCCTTACAGGCTCCTTGTCAGTCTCCTTTCCTGGCTCCATCTTATCTTGTCAACCTTTAGACATTGAATGCCTCAGAGGTCAGCGTTGTGTCTTCATACTTTTTCTGCTTACATTTCCTAGCTTATCTCATCTAGTTTGATGGCTTTAAACCCTCCATGTATACACAGGATTCCCAAATTTATATCTTTAGCCTAGACCTCCTCCCCAAACTCCAGAGTCTTAGAGTTGGTGCCTCCTTGACATCTCCACATGGGTAGCTGATAGGCATCTCAAATACAGAATGTCCAAACCTTAATCTTGCTTTCCCGACCACCCTCTCTCCCTTAACTACTCCTTCCACAGTCTTCTCCATTTCAATAGATGATTGCTTAGGCCAAAAATACTTTGAATCATTTTTGAGTCCTCTCTTTCCATCATAACTTCATCCAATCCATGAGCAAATCCACCTCTACCTTGAGAACATATCTGCAATATGACCACTGGCCTTCCACTGTTTAAAAAGAATTGGTAAATTTCACACCAACATTATAATTTCTAGCAACTTTTCAAAAATTAGAAGTTAGACACCATCGGATCCACATTCCCACATGACCTTAATCAGTTCAGGATACATCAAATTTAAGGTGATCATGGCTTAAGTTGCTATCTGCTATAATAGTTAAGGACATGGGCCTAGAACTTGGGTAGAAGATTATTTGACACCACAAATGAGAATGATTTCTTTGAAAGCTGAACTGAATCTTACGTTACTCATGAGTAACAGAAAGGAAAGTCAGCAATTAAAGTACAAGCAGTTTCAGGAAAGGACAACCACCAGCACAGTATAACGTCACTGAAAGTAAGGCAGAGGAAAATTTTAAAATGGAGGGCTGATCTGGGGTGTCAGTGTTGACAAGCCAGAAGGCTTAGGATTTGGCCAGAAGAAAAATGCGGCTGTCATATGACATGTTCAGGTTTCATACTTGGGAGAGGCTGGATGGCTACGAGAGAAGGTTTTCCACTGTCACGAGCATTCGTAGGTATGTGCGGGTAACTTTAGGAACGATTTTTGCTTATGTCCCATTTATCCATTCACGCTTCCACACATGCGTTCAGTCATCAGACTATTTACTGAGCTTCTGATGTGTGTCAGGCCTTGTGGACCTAGTGAATGAAACATAGTTCTTGCCTTTAAGGCCCACAGTCTTATGGAAGAAGAAAAAAAAAATTAACAATTATAATCCAGTGTGATGAGTTCTAAAGTAGGAGTGAACATGGGATAACGGTATGAACCAGATTGTAGGCTCCGTGAGGGCAGGGACTGTGTCTTATTCACTACGGTGTCCCTAGCACAGTACCTGGCACAAAATAGGCATTCCGTACTGAATAAAAAGATTAACGGGGTAGGAGGAGTGGCTTCTTAAACAAATTTATCAAATATTTCTTGTACACCTATCATGCCAGGTGCTGTGGATACAGCAAAGACCAAGACACGGTTTTGCGCTTGGGAACATCATAAGCAGCAAATCCTGTGGGGCTCATGAAGAGGAGATGACTGTGCTTAGGCCTTTATCTGTAGGTCCTTTCATACTGAGTACGGGGGATGTGGGATGGTCGTGTTCGTGTCATTCAACGGTGATTATCTGTAGATCGTTACCTCTCACGTGTGGGGGTGTTCTCTGACTTTTGAGGGCCAGTAGCCCTTAGCAGTTCTTTTTTCTAGCTTTACTAATTTCCTTTTGAGTTTTCCATGATCAAGACATTTTTAGAAGTTAGCAACTTAAGCTGAATTTTCTAAAATGAAACTTGAGAGCTTGTTTACCCAGTGGCATTAGTTTGAATTGCTGCCCTGCTGGAAGGATGATACGGTTTAAGGCTGAGGGTATACTGAATGAGTGTGGCCTCTTACTTGGTGGGAAGCATTGAAGGACTAAAAAGACTACCCAGCAAGCTAAACGAGTTCCTGAGCTCATTAGTTGAAATGATTACAAAGGGATTTTAACTAGAGTACATTCTTCTGCTCATGGGAGGAAGACATGTCAGATCAAGAGGGGCTAACTGACTAGGAGACCAGCAGCAGGATACAGAGCCTTTCATTCTTGAGTAGCTGACTGGTCTCACGGAGACCGGTAGTGAATGGACAGCTACCATCTAATTATCGTGCAGTTACTACGGGAAACAAATTAATCATCATAGCTTAATTTTCAGTAGAAACATTTCCCAGGCTTCATAAATTGCCTGCACAATTGATGCCCTTGTTAATGACATAATAACATCAGTAAGTTGAAAGTAGCTGAGACTGATGCGGGAGGATGTCACTTTTAGGGCTGGCCTATTTACAACTGCATCAAAGCATCCTTGTCCTATCTGGCCCACGTGTTGTTTGCTCTGAGGCTGAATATAGGGCTGAATTCTTTTAGGAACGTTAGCTGAGTGAAACGTGTTTATGTGTCCTGTTTCCTTTTTGATGTTTCTTGCCAGGTTACCCTCTTCAGTGATAACCCTTCAGACTAAACGGACTTTTTCCCCCTAATTTACACTGACACGTGACATTTTATTTTAAAGTTGTCATTCTTAGTGTGTTTATAGGGATGAGGACAGAATGTCACAACCACAAAAAGAAAATCAATATCAAGAACTTTGTGGTCTACTATTCTTTATCTTGTAGTGCTGTTATTCAGCTTTTTTTCAGGAAAAACTTAGTCCTGATCATGTATTATTAGATGTGTGTTATGTGTGTTATTAGACTGTGTGCATCAGCACACAGGTTTTACCTCTTAAAAAGTCCTAAGCCATCCTGAGACTGCTGGGATGAGGACCCTACTGTTTGATCCAGTTGGGTGGCATGCAGAGGACACTTTACAAAGTGTTGGTGACTGAGGGCCATTGTTATTATTTGTAGAAGGCAGACGGTAAACAACAGGAGCAGATTACTCATCGAGAGCAAACCACAAAACACCAGGAACAGATATGAGCTGAACCTGTCCCCGCTATCCCTGCGAGTACCCCACTTAGCATCGTAGGAGAGGAACCCATTTATGTCCAAAAGGGGCCCATTCACCCTTCCCAAATTACCATGGTCATTTTTGTGTCTCTGGATGGGTACGCCATGGGTCAGGTGTCAGGAGGTATGTGTCTGTGTCTCTTTCAGGTGTGCCGTGGTTGTTCATTCTCTGTCTGTCTCCGTGGCTTTTCTTGTCTGGGTCTGGCCCTCTGTGCTTACTGGTCCAGTGCTTAACCAGCAGCTTCGGGACAAATAGGCTAGGGCCTCGGTTATGGCAGCATTAATGACAGCTTGAGGCTAAACTGTTGTACAGGCAGTCCCTGTACAGTGTATTTCCAGACCTCTGAGGGCCTCCTCTCAGCCCCCCTCAAGACAGGCCTCCTCTCAGCCTTAGGGTTACAGCTGTCAGCACAGCTGGAATGTCTTCATCACCAAAGATAGGCCACCTTGACCCCCTCGCTGCCACTTTCCCTGCTGGGCATCTGCCTGCACAGGCCTGGACTGTGGCTGCTTCCCCTTTGTGGGGCACCCAGCTCCGTTGGCAACCTCCTGCCTAGAAGTGCTCGGCTCCAGTGGTGACCCCCTGCCTAGGGATGCCCAGCTCTGTTGGTGACCTCCTGCCTAGAGGTGCCCAGCTCCATTGGTGATCTCCTGCCTAGGGGTGCCCAGCTCCTTTGGTGACCTCCTGCCTAGAGGTGCC